ATAGTTGTTTGTATTTTATATATAAGATTGATATATATATATATATATATATATATATAAATTTAATTATAATTAAATTTTAAATTTTTATGTTTTTGTAAACAGGCACATTTAACTTTAATTATATTTTAATTAGTTTTAAAAATTATTTTTTAATCAAATTATAATTAAATTTTATGTTAAATATCAATTGTTTGTTGTTTTTCTTTGAATTTGATATAAAATGACGAATTAATAAAGAGAAATTTTAAAAAATAATTAATGTGAAATTAAAACTAAAGTGTTTAAGATTAAATATGTATTTAATTTAAACTTTTATCAATTTTTTAGCCCAAAAATAATTTTTATTTGATTTTAGTCTTTGAAATTTTTTTTATAAACAAAAATTTTGATGATACAATCTAAAAGTTAACTTATAATCGACAAAAAAAATAGAAAAAAACAAAGACTAAAAATAAAAATTGACAAAAGTTCATATTCAATTCAAGTATTTATCTGTAAAATTAATTAAGTTTAAGATCAAATGAAAAATGAAATTCATAATGTTTATTTTAAAAAATTAATAATTAATTAAAATAAAAATAAAATTTATGATATCTTTTTTAAAGATGTAAAGTTTAGAAATTAAATAATTTTTTTTAAAAAAATAAGATGACAAAATTTGTAAATTGAAAATTAAATGGGAATTAAAGGTGCTATTTATCTTAAAAGATAATAGCATCACATGTTTCTATAACGATATATTTATAAATATCTCTATACATGTATTTTATACATTTATAAATCTATACATATTATAAAGGAACATTATTTATACTTTATAATTTTTTCCTTATAGACTATAACAATGAATAAAAGAAATATCATTTTTTGATTTCTACATTTCTTAAGACACATTTACCTTTTAACTAATTAATTTGTATTATTTTTAAATATTTTTATTTTTATCCCTATTTGTCACTTGCACACATACTCATTTCTTTTTTTTTATAAATTATGTTATTGATACGAAATATTCACAACTAATCTCTATTAAAAACTATGCTTACTACTTTTAGTGAAATCTTCCTTTCCAATAACATTTTTTTGATATACAAGACTCGAATCTGATATCTTACTTAAAAGAATCGAATCCAATACAACTTGAATCAACAACTTATTCATGTGCACTCTCTCCTTTAATAAGTATAATTTTTTTCTACTATTGTTATATGTGTAAAAAAAAACTTATTATTTTCTAACTTTGAATGTTTGTAGGTCTAGAAATTAAAGGTAGATTCCACATTGTATTGTTTCACATATTATCAATGATGAATTAAGGTACCGGTGTATTTCATAAAAATAAAATTATATATATATGCACTGCTGGGAGTGTGACCCAGTGGTGGAAGGGCGAGCAAGTTATTATTGTTGCCTTCCTCCAGGATGTGTACCCTAGGTGCGTTCAGGGGAGTGTAAAAGTCGTATCTCCCCCCTCTGTTTGCCCTAGTCGACTTCTTGAATTAACTGTCATTGTTGACTCTGATTTTATCCATATGCCCTTGTTCCGGATTTGCTGGGGCTTTCCCGCGAACCTGGTCGCGGAAGGCGGAGTGCTCCTCTATCTGGATGTATCCGGACGCGCGGCGCGAAGTTCATCCATGTCGTGGGGGGGGTCTCGACAGAGGCTGTCGACAAAGGGGCCAGCTTTGAGGGCCATGAGCATGGAGTGAAGGGCGACCTCGGGGTTTAAGCTTCGGATCCTCACCGAGATGCTGGAGAAGCGCTCCATGAAGGCCCGCAGAGGTTCGTCATCACTCTGCCTGAGGTTGGCCAATGCAGTGGAGGTTGTGTGGTGAGGTCGGCTGGTGGCGTACTGCACCGTGAACCGGCGAATTAAGGTACTGAAGCTGTCGATGGACTCGGCAGGTAGCGCCAACGTTCCTCAAACTAGACGTCCCTCACTCTCTCATTCAACCTCACACGGAACCCCTAGTCGGCTTCGCAGGAGAGCGAGTTCACACTCGGGGATACGTAGACTTGCTGACAACTTTCGAAACGCCACCGGATACAAGGCGGGTCATGGTCCGGTACCTCCTCGTGGAAGCCAACACTTCCTACAACATCATCATCGGGAGGCCAACCTTGAACCAACTCGGAGCAGTAGTGTCAACCCCACACCTCACCATGAAGTTCCCGGGCAAGGACGGTAAAGTCATCTCCATCAAAGCTAATCAGAAAACAGCTCGGCAATGCTACGCCGAGAGCCTGAAGACTTCATCGTCGAGCAAGCAAAGCAAAGGGAATCCCCCCACCATAGCTACTTAAGTTTTTTTGTCTCTCTTCTTCTTCCAATGTGAACAAAGCTGTGCACTCTTTTCCCGCCTCAGCCTTTGACTGAGAGGGTTTTTAACGAGACACACAAGCACCATAAATAAAACTACTCCTTTCGCTCATCTCATATTCTTATTTTCCTGATTATCTAAAGGACGAAAATGAAGTCTAACTGTGCAAACGCTGAAATACGAGGTCGAGTACGAACCTCGATGCTTCCGCTAAAGGTCGCGTTCGAACCTTAATTAAATAACATATCGCAAATTTGAGGTCGAGTCCGAACCTCGACATTTCCGAGGTCGAGTACGAACCCCGACGCTCTTGAAAAAGTAATATACTGTTTTTGACACATGCATGCTTTTAGTTCTGCGCTTGATTTTCTCCTTTCTTCTTTTCTTCTCACAATTCTGATGACTTTGTGTGTTTCCTGTGAGTGTGGAGGATATTCAAATTGTCCTAAGAAACTTGATTTCTCAGGTGGTTGCATGACAATTTTCATCTACGTCTGGTAGTCTATGTGTAGCTCAAGCCTTGATCTTTGTCTAAGCATTTGTCATTAACGCATTGCCTTTTCCTTTCGTCTGGTTAACTTGTATATGGTCAGACTTTCAAATGATCTTTGACCAACCTGCATCTGAGTCTTGTATCATTTGATGCATATGCTTGTTATTCTACATTTTTTTAACTTTATATTACTCGATCTTATAACTTTCTCAAATCACTAAAATATATTTTCTTTTAACTGAAAGCCACATATTATTATTTAATTGTTATTATTTTTTTAATATATAACAGAGATATAAAACATTTTTTTCTTGATTTATTTTAGTGATAAACTATATATAACTTTATAAACAAATTTAAGATATAAAAAATTAATGTTAATATTGTGAAAGTAAAATATTTAATTAAATTACGTTACATTATCTTTATGTATATTAATTTGATATAGTAAAATAAAAATTTTAAATTATATTTAGGATTAAATAACTTTTTTTTAAGTACACTGATGTTAATGTTTTAAATATTTCATTTAAAAATAATTACTCAAATTCAATATATTGGAGATATGGAGTTTTTTTTTTTTTTTTTGTACTTGTATATTCCATTATTAATGTTCTAGTAATCATTCTAATTACCGAGAGATTAATATCAACAAGTCATTCTAACTACACTTGACTATAGGTCCCTTTCCCATCTGAACTCTGTTATCATAATCATGATGTTGAACAAATCTAGCCCAGAATGGGTGTGCCTTCCACACCTTAGGCATTTCTTCAATTGGAATACCCTTGGTTTCAGGCAAAAAGAAGTAAAAGAAGAATGACATGAACAACACAAAAAAGGCAAAGAAGATGAATAAGGCAAACTTTATGTGGCAAAGCATTTGCAAGAAGACTTGCGCAACCAATAAAGTGGAGAGCATGTTGACCGCAACGGTGATACTTTGAGCAGTCGAACAAATCTCTAATGGAAAGATCTCACTAGGCACCAACCAACCAAGGGGACCCCAAGACCATGCAAATGCAAATGAAGAGAACCACAACAATAGCATACCACTTTGGCAAATCACCAGGGTTTCCATCCATTCCAAACTTGGCTCCAATAGCAATTGCAACTATAGCTTGGCATATGAGCATCTAAACTCCACCTTCAAGGAAAAGGGCTCTCCTACCCCATTTATCAACTCCATAAATCGAGACACATGTTGCAACAACATTCACAACACCGGTGATGACAACTGACATTAGAGCAGCATCATCCTTAAACCCAATGGAACTAAACAGCATGGGCGCATAAAACATGATCACGTTAATTCCAGTGAGTTGCTGGAAGAATATTGGAATCAATGTTAAGTCTCAATTTTACATCTTTTTGGATGAGACTTATTAAACAAATTACGGTCATCCTCTGAACCATTGCAATATAATTGTTCTCTTTTTGGTTCATTTTGTGTGCAGATATAACTAACCCAAATTTAGCTAACAATACCTTAATACATCTCATTTTTTGTGCAGGTATTGAGCTAGAGACTTGAGGGTTGAA